AATGTTGAAGGAAGGAATAGGGTTCAAGGACTACCTACATGGACCAATGGATGCAGGAACAAAGCTTAAGGTCAAATTCAGGACCGGGGACATAGGCCTTCGAGAACGTCGACGAAGACATAGGACGGTAGACGACGAAGACGGCAAGTTCAAAAGTGATTGCGGCTCNTAGGGTTCAAGGATTACCTACATGGACCAATGGATGCAGGAACAAAGCTTAGAGTCAAATTCAGGATCGGGGACAAAGGCCTTCGAGAACGTCGACGAAGACATAGGACGGTAGACGACGAAGACGGCAAGTTCAAAAGTGATTGCGGCTCCGAATGCGAAGACCGTGTTCATGTAGTCGCGGAATGCCCGTGGTACAAGAAGGAGAGGGAAGTGTACGTGACTGAGCTGGGAAAAATAGATGGGATGCACAGGGAGATGTTCGAGGCATGAATAGAGAGGAAAGGACGGTAGCTGTACTGGGGCATAGGAGGTGGATCGAAGAGGCGGGAAGAGATATCGTTAGGATAGACAGACTAGTNAGAAGGAGAGGGAAGTGTACGTGACTGAGCTGGGAAAAATAGATGGGATGCACAGGGAGATGTTCGAGGCATGAATAGAGAGGAAAGGACGGTAGCTGTACTGGGGCATAGGAGGTGGATCGAAGAGGCGGGAAGAGATATCGTTAGGATAGACAGACTAGTGAAGACGTTTTTGAGCCACCTTTGGCAAAGTAGGAAGGAACGATTGGCCATCGGTGATCTGTCCTGTGGGAACAGTGCTCCGTCCTCTCGAGGACGCGTGGTCAATGGTCTAACCGCTAGGCATGCAAAACATAAGCGTACGCCCCCCCCCCCCCATCGTCCAAATGCAGATCTATTCTGTGACCCCCCCCTGGTGGCAAAATATGTCGACCGATCCATCCCCGACGCCGCCACGCAGTAAAGCAGAATGCAACAAGCAAGAACTCGACACACCGTTTCATCATTCAACACGGATGGTTTACCTTGATTAATAGGAAGCAGCGGCAGTACTGCAAAAGTCAGGCCAACCTGGACCCATCCCCAGAGAAATCGGAACAAACGACCGGATGATGAATGAATCACTGCGGCGGGAGGGTGGAGCCGGGAGGGTCATCCAACACAAAACCTGGAGTTTGCCGCTCCGGACATAGTACATGTTTGCCCTCCCTCGTTCGAGCACACTAGCCTCTTTCCGGTAGAAATTTCGGTCAACCAAAAAAATGGGCAACGTTTCTCTCCTCTCTCTTCGCCCACCACCTCGTGAGCTGTGCCTATCTACTATACCATAAATACGGCATATTTACTAGAGCACGTCCCCAAACCATACAAAACAAGAGGTGACCGCAGGGGCGGGCGCAGCGACAGCAGTCAGTCAGTGCTTATTGCACCCGTGTCTGTCCTACACCGCCTGATGACCGTCGGCGGCAGGCAGTGTCTGCGGGGCCCCTGCCGAAACCAGGCTCCGCACGGCCATTACAACACCCAAAAATGCAACAAGAGAGAATAGTAGAGGCCAAAGATCACGCCTCCACCAATAGTCTAACCCTCAAAAGGGGCAAAACATGCGAAAATCTAATGGGTTGTCAATATGATGCCGGCCCACTCTCTCACTGACACGACTTGGTTGCGTTTTTCGGGGGGCGGAGCAGGCGTACATACCTGCCTGCCTCTCTGCCGACTAAGTTAGGTGCCTTCTGTGGACTTGTAGCAATGACGTGAAACAATAGGCGAGATCTCTCAAGCGACACACACCGCACATTTCCCTCACAGTCCAATTCACACTACAAGCACAGCAGCAGAGCACATTTGATTACCTGTTCTCCGTTCTTCTTCGTGACAAAACAGTCGCAAAAAAAAAAAATCTCGAGAGCTTGCTTCCAAGGCACAGATCATATTGTCGCGTGTTGCATTTCCTCGGCAAAACAATATTGGTTTCGCTTGCCAGTATTCCCCGTTTGTTTTTTTTTAGTTGTTATGCTTGGCATGGTATATATTTTTCTACGACCCCCCCACCCCCCCCGTTCTCGTCTGCTGTTTTTGACATCGACCTCGCGCGGCGATCATTATTTTTTGTCGAAACCAAAACATGAGAGAAACAACGCGCCCACCAGCAGTAATAATTCAAAGCTCGTACGGCTCTGCCCATATGTCTTACCAATCCGGACCTGGCTACTAAAACAAGCAAAACACATTACCAGTCAAAAAAATACACACAAGAGAGTCATACGGCACACGAACAAAGACAACAGCACCAATCCACCGGAGGTGCGAACTCAGAAGACGAAGCCAAACGAAAGGAGGGTCAACCCCACACGCGCGGGCGCGCGCTTTTTTTCACGCACACAAAGAATACACAAAAATACTTATTTCGGTGTCAAAACGAGATCGGTCTCGTAGAAGATGAAACACTTGAAGCGCTTTGGCGTCGCGGGAATCGATTGTGAATGAACCTCAACACTTTGCCGACGCGGGGAATCAATCGCGAATCAATCGCGATCCTTGTCGCTGGCACAGCTGTGACGACAGAAAGAGGAGGGCTGAACGACAAGCCAGAGTCGCGGGGAATCGGCCAATCAACGCCTGCCGGCCGGTTCACAACTAATTGCTGGCTGTGGTGCCCTGAAAACCAACTCCTCCACACATACATGTGAACCAGTCGAGAACGTACTTCCTACTCTGAAGTGAACCGAAAATGCGCCCGTTGTACCTACTACCAAGCCGACCCGTATGCTTTCCATTTGTTGCTGGTATTCTTCAAGCCGCCCTGCGGCATGGACGTCTTTTCGTTCTCACGATTTTACTTTTTTCACTTTCAAATATACTTTCGGGGAAGGGGAGCACGGCCAGCCAGTCATTGACAGAAAAGACACAACAG